TGGTGTCTTCATTGTTTCCACACATGTCGCACATAAAAACATCCTCTTCGGCATCAGACGATTGGCACATAACATGGTATGGAATCAGGCAGTAGGAACACTGGACCCACTTGGCACCATTTTTTCTTTTGACATCTAGTGAATAACTATTACCACACATTCCGCAATCCCAGTCATTATCTTCAGAAACCGCTTTTTTATTGGTTGTGGCTAGAACACAGGATGATGACGTAGATGGTGCATGAATTGGTGAAGAAGGAATAACACTTTCAGGATTGAGGCCTAATACACATGATGATGACGTAGATGCTGTATCGCTTATTGAAGAAGGCACACCACTTTCAGAATTAAGGCACTTTGCTCTTGAATCGCGCTTCTTTCTATTCGGATTTGCAGCAACTGGCTTTGTTGGAAGAGACAATATGTTGCTAAATGGATTTTGTTGCGTAGGAGCTCCTGCACGTTGATTAGGTATCTCATTAGAAGTGAGTAGAGAAGGTGCAAAAGCTTCCTTAGGAATGGCATTGCTATCAAAGGGACATATCCCAGATTTTCTGAACGCATTTGTAATGTTTGATGCGGAAAAACTTGAAATGTATGCCGGATTTAGAATGGTGTGAAAATTGGTTCTATTGGGCTTCTCTGCATTATCTTTCATATAAACATTTAAGCTTTTGGCCCAATGAGCCTTTAATGACTTATAAACACCTACATCAAGTGGCTGTAACAGATGGCTAGTGTGGGCTGGAAATGTAAATAAATAAACACCATTGTGAGACGCAAGAGATATAACTTCCGGATTGATGTGTGATGCATGGGAATCCATTAATAAAATTACTGGTCGGGCAGAGGGAATTGAGGCAATAAAAAATTGAAACCACTCCAAAAAGATCTCACTGTTGATCCATCCTTTTGGAGAAAGTTTTACTTGTGTATTTGGTAGGCAATCTTTCTTTAAATTATCGTTCCATCGAACCCCTTTGAAAATTATCAACGGTGCAATCCATGTTCCATTGGCACAAATACATCCCATCATGGTTTGAGATTCGCCTCTATCTGCATATGCTCTTTTGTAGACATAACGTTTTCCAACCGAGGTAACGACTTTACTTGGTTTGACCACATAAGATAGTCCGGTTTCATCGCAATTCCAGAGACGATCGGAATTATTCTGAACTCCAAGTCTAACCATTAATGTTTCTAATTTTGTATAAAAATCCCCCAGTATTTCATTATTTGACATTGAAGCCCTGTATGCAGCCAAATTTTCAGGAACACGCAGTGTTAGATTGAATCGCTTTTTATACTGAGCCCACCACCATTTACTAGCAGACTCGTTTTCTTTATTGAAGAAGTGATCTCTCTCCGTACGTTGTGCAAGTTGAAAGGCTATCTTTCTTATCATCTGCACCGTCAAACCAAAACCCAATTCTTGCATTTTTATAATGTAATTAAACAACTGAATTTCAACTTCTGCAGTAAGAGCAAACGGCCTTCCTAGTTTGGCAACTTGGTGATTGTCATCTTCATTTCTACTTAAAAAATCTTTCAGTGTACTCCAGGCTATTCCACTTTGTTTACTTGCCTTGTAGATGGATAGTTTCTCTACTCTTACAAGTCTTGAGGCTTCTAATAAATCGGAGATCTCATATTGGCGATATTTTCCTTTGCATATTTTAGGCATTTTGAATTCTAAAAAAAAAGACACAGGTAAGTTCGTGATAACCCTGGATGTTAGAAAATCTTCATAATATTTATTATTTAATATTTATAGTTCACATATTTATTATATCTATGATAAAAATCCAAATAAAATTAGAGTAAATACACCGCGAATAATTAGTTACATTTTCCCGCGCAAACAAACGTTAAAATGCGTAAGAAAACCGCCTCACAACTTAAGCTATTTCAGAAAACTGTTGGCGAAAATTGCCTGTATAACTTAACGGGGGTACTAAGCAACTTATAAACAACATCATACGTAATTTTTACAAACTTACCTTTGCAATATTCACCATAAATAATAAAACAACGAATGCACTTCAGATTTCAAGCTCTCTCGTCAACACAAGGAATAACACTGAAAAATAAGTTTTATCCCGGTTCAACAGAGCTTCGCAATTTGACTTGCAGTGGTGGGGAAGGTTGTCGAGTCTTTCCGCTAGAGACTGCAACAAAACTGCTGCTATAAGGCAATAGGCTAGATCGTGACGAATTATTAGAAATTTATCACGAATTTACTTATATCACGAATATACCTTACTTCACCCTATACGACAAACAAATACAAATCTATTAACATATACTGAAAACTCAAATAATTCAAATAAATGCTACAGCTTTAGATGCAATATAGGCAGCAATTACTTTGCTGCTCATCTCCCGTATACTAAATTAATATTATTTTTGTGCTCTGATAAACCGTTTAAATTTGACCCATTATTAACGACTTATCCTCTATAAAAAGTACATAAAATAATTGTTAATTGTGGTCAAGGGATATAATATTCTTTTCTTTATGGTTGCGGTAGAAATAAATGTCCTACTATGTCACAAGTCTAAAAACATTAAGTTTATGGACTTGTTGTTTCAAGGAACTTTTCAGGTAGAATTTAATCAGGAAAATATTACTGGCTTGGGAATTTAAGTTGAAAAGTTTATCAGAGAGTCCGCTTAATGTTCATTGGTTTAAGTAAAAAGTTGAGATTTTGTATAAAAGTAGATACAAGGCTGCAGTGTTGTTTTAAAATTCATATTAGGTGTTTAAATTTTTCTAAATTCCGGAAAAACTTGTCAAATCGTGTAGTTTGGTAAATTGTTAATTTATGAAGTGAATATGAAGGTATTTTATTTAAAATATATTATATATACCAGTTAATTGATTTTTATGAAACCAGAAATTAAAATGGAAATAAAAAATTATAAACAATAAAGAGAATTAATTAAAATTTCTTGTTTTTGACAAGGGAAGTTGAGTGCATACTTCACATAAGTAGAAAATTAAAAATTGGGCCAAAAGTAATGCACCAAAAACAGAGCAAATAGCTGTATATCTAAAAAATGTGGTCAAACTCGATGTTTGTCAAGAGGTTAAAAAATTGTGAAAGGAAGCTTTCAGAAATGTGGAAGGAAACTGTCTCTAAAAGGCGGATGAGCAATAGATGTCAACGGCATAAAAATAGGAAGGAAATGGTCAACCACCGTATTAAAGATGCCCAAGGATATCCGAAGAAAGACAAAGATGGAAAAGATATTGCAAGCAACGGCCCCTAGTCCAAGATAATTCACACAAGAACATACTTACAACAGATGTGAAAGAGACATTAGTCCCACACAGTTTGGTTTCAGACAAGGATTTGGCACAAGAGAAGCACTTTATAGCTTAACTGTCCTACTTCAGACATGCAGAGACCAGCAAAAAGGTGTCTTCCTATACTTTATAGATTACCAGAAAGCGTTTAATTGTGTTAATCATTCAGAATTAATAAGATTGCTTCAGGAATTCAGGTTCGATAGATGAGAATGACCTTAAAATCCTAAAGAACCTTTATATGAATCAAGTGGCATCTGTGAGAGTAGGACTGGAATCTACATATTTTTCAATCGAAAAAGGTGTACGACTGGGTTGTGTTCTATCACCTCTTCTTTTTAATCTTTACTCTGAAACGATTTTCGATAGCGTCTTAAGTGACACTAAAGATGAAATCAAAATCAACGGACAGATTATTAGTAATCTTCGCTATGCTGATAATACAGTCATAATAGCTGATAGCCAGAAAGAGCTACAACGACTAATAAATAGAATAAATACTGAAGGAGAATAATTGGGCTTGAAGATTATTATAGACAAGACGAAGGTAATGGTGGTTAGTAGAACCAGAAATATGTAATTAAATATAAGAGTAAACAATAAGAACATCCAAAAGGTCTCCAAGTTCAGAAAGGCCACATGAGAAAGGCCACAAAAGAAGTATTTAAATTTGCAATTTAAAATGATATTTGCAATGTAAAAAATAAGAAAACACCGGTACCAGGAGGCATTACATCTGAGCTTATAAAATACGGCTCAAAAAAATTACACCGGATGATAAAATGGATATTTATTTTCAGAAAGCAATAAAGAAGAACAGCTCCCAAAGGAATGGACGGAGGCATATATGATATCTATATATAAAACTGGTAATAGTAAACAATGCGGAAACTGAATAGAAAGATTATATGGGAAGAAACTACGAGAACAGAGAGAGCTAGCGATAAAAGACAAAATCGCGGAGGATCTGGCAGGCGGAGAACTGTTGAAAAAGAAAAAAGCAAAAAATAGAGATATGCATTTGGCATTTGTGGACCTGAAAAAGGCGTATGACTCTGTAAGAAATTCAGAACTATGGGAGGCATTGTGCAAATTAGAAATACAAATGGAACTCATAAAAGCTAAAAAAGCTCTCTATAAAGCAAATAAACTGTCCATCAAAATGGGAACAAGAAACATAGCAGACTTCATCACAACAAAAGGGCTCATGCAGAAGCCCTTTTGTTGTGGTGGCGAAAATATACTTGGAGTAAGCCTTGATTACATAAAAAAATGCGAAGGCATGGGAATACCGGTACAAAACGAATACCTATATACGTTAAGCTTTGCAAACGATCAAAGTAGTGATTGCATAAGACCAAGAAGACCTCAGTTACATGATGAAGAAACTACAAGAAGAATATACCAAGGCTGGCCTAGATATTAACCTCGCCAAAACAGATAAATAGAGAAATATATACTGTGATACCGAAAATATATTTTTTTCCATACCACCATTCTATTCTCTTAATTATTAAATAATAATTCGTCCAAATATTTTAGCGGGCATGACATGAGATAAGAATGTGCAGATTCTATGCAAGTATTTTAAAACAATTAAACGAAATGGTGTTTATCTAAATTATTACAACTAAATTATTATTTAAGAATATTAGTTTACTAAAAACATTAAATTAGTTTTTTTTTTCAGATTCCAGAATGAATTCATTTGAAACAGAAAATACAATAGCAGCCTCCTTTAACCATCTGGCAATTTACTTAAACGACCAGAAATAAGTTCATTCATTTTCATTTACTATACCGACATGGACAACAACTTTGAAATGTCGGACGATAATTCAACTTCAGCCACAGATTCGTATAATGACAGCGATTACGTCGATCCAAGGTTGATGGAGAGGTATCTCCAGAATAAAGCAATTGATGAACCAGCCTATACGGTCCTTATTGTGATGTACTGCTTTCTGATGATTATGGGAGCTTTAGGAAACACTCTTGTTGTAAGTTGCAGAAGTTTTTTTGTTTTATTTCCAGATTATTTACTCAATATACTGATTCAGGGATTATTAGCCGAAAAAACTATACATTTTTATAAAACAACAACATTATGAATGCACATTTATATTTAACAATTTATTGACTTTTCGATCTAACATTTTGTCAAACATTATTATTATAGAAAATTTTAGAATTTATATTGAAAATTGATAAATAAAATTCATCTCTCTCTGGTGATAAAAACGTTTTTAACAACTCTGATATTTGTTCGACTTTAAGGATATTGGCGAACTTATAGCTCATTCTGCTCTATCTGCAACAGTTCTGAAGAGTTCTGTTGTTGTTTTTCCACTGCTTTAATTTTTTTTCAGGACATGCAGCGTCTCTCCGGTGCTATTTTTTCTTCTACCTTTTCTTGTACAGCATTTCAAATCGATTGTCGAGGTTTTCCACGAAATAGTTAATGGCTCAGCCAATAGAATATCTATGATCTGACCCACGCAGTGGCGTTGCAATATTAAACAAATTAAATTATTTGAAATCGCACTAATTACAAAATTAATACAAAAAGAGGTTAATCTTTGTAAATGGGTATATTTATTTAAAAAACCCTTAAAAGGGCCACATCAATAAAACAAACGTTTTCGGACCACACAGTCCATCATCTGGTTATTAAAATCGAAAATGCCTAAAAATAAGTATAAACCATTTAGTTAAAACAAACGAGATTGTGACATTTTGACTATGGTTGAAAAGCAAAAGATGGTTATACTTACTAGGTCATAATGCCTGAGCCACCAAAATATTAGGGTAAAAACCCTTTAAATTACATTAAGTTATGAAATGTTGTACATTGTGTTATAAAATAACTGTGATGTTCAGTATTAAATTAAATTTGACTATAGGTAACACATGGCTCAATTGGGTTCCAGAGCCGGGTGAGAGGGAACCTCTGCACTCGGAGAACAACGTGGAACTGATTGACAAGATACATTTGAAGGATGAAGATAACAGAATGTCAATGCAACAAAAACTATAAAAGTTGTACATAGTATTACTACAGCCAAAAGATTCAACAAGTTTTGATGATTTTAAAAAATAACAACAATCTAGGTGTTGGGATTTAAAAACTTTTTATTTATTAATTTAGGGTATAATAGATGTCAAATCAATGATGGTTTTATAGTCATGATTAATATAATGACCTGTGCCTCATTATACCGATCAAGAAACGATTCTCCCGAGTCTTCAAAGCAAAATCTGAAAAGACAAATAACAAACGTAAATTCTGAAGTAATGCCCGAAATAAGCGAAGTAGAAATAGAAAATAGAATTAAAGAAATGAAAAGAAATAAAGCACCGGGTAGTGATGGAATTCTGGCAGAAATGTTGAAAGAAGGCGGAGAAGAAGTCATCAGGTACCTAAAAATACTTTTTAATAAATGCCTATTTCAAGGAAACATACCAAAGAAATGGAACACTGCTAACATAATATTAATACACAAAAAAGGGGACAATACAGATCTGAAAAATTATCGTTCAATATTACTACTATCACAACTTTATAAAACATTCACAAAAATAATTACTACAAATAGATTGACAACAAAGTTCGATGTATATCAATCAGTAGAGCAAGTAGGATTTAGAAAAGGGTTCAGTACATATGACCATCTTCACACACTAAAGGTCCTAATAGAAAAATAGAAAAAGTGAACGAATACAATTTACTTATCTGTTTAGCATTTATAGACTACGAGAAAGCTTTTGATAGCATAGAATTATGGGCTATTGAGGAAGCACTGGTCAACACCAGAATAGAGTCTAGATATAGGATATTAATACATAATATATATCAACACGCTGAAATGGTAGTCACGATGGATAACGGAATGAAAACGAGGCCAGTAAAAATCAACCGAGGAGTAAGACAGGGAGACACCATATCTCTAAAACTATTTACTGCCGCACTTGAAGACATCTTTAAATCGATAAACCATCGATAAACGGAAAGTATTTAAACCATCTAAGATATGCAGATGACGCAGTACTAATAGCCAACAGCTGAAAAGAACTGAAGACGATGATCGATGAGCTTCATACGGAATCCATGAAAGAAGGACTGAAAATGAATCTGAGTAAAACTAAGCTAATGTCGAATAAAGATGATCAACCGACGATAACCATCCATCCAAGGAACAAAAGTGGAAAATGTAGAAGAATACATATATCTGGGTCAGAATATCAATGTAAACAAATAAAAACAAACTACCGAAATAAGCAGACGAGTAAGAATGGGATGAAAGACAAAAAGATACCCCAAAACCTTCGAACCAAAGTGTTCGATTTTTGTATCCTTCCCGTTCTCACTTACGGAGCTCAAACCTGGACATTCACAAAAAAGAACATGGACAAGATTCCAAAAACTCAGCGAGCCATGGAACGACAGATGCTTGGTATCTCACTAATAGATCAGCAAACGAACGAAGCAATCCGAAACAAAACAAAAATAAAGGACGCCGGGAAACAAGCAGTTAAATTAAAATGGAAATGGGCTGGACACAACGAACGTCTCGAAGATGGTAGATGGAACAAAGAAGTCGGAAACTGGCGACCGTACGATGCGAAGACACTAAGAGAAAGACCTCAAATGCGCTGGAGCGACGATATTAAAAGAGTCGCAGGACCAATGTGGAAACACCTAGCACACAACAGGGATGAATGGCGAGAAATGGGAGAGGCTTTTATTCGACAATTCGGATAGAAAAAGGGCTATAAAAAAAGTATGATTTTTGTTTTTCGCGCTATCTTTAATTTTTTTATGTGGATAACTACCTGTGTCTTGTTTGGGATGTATTATCCGTCAATTTTAATTTCTTTTTTTATTCTAAAAAAAAAGACAAAATGCATGGTTATAACAGCAAATTTACTAAGATATAAATTGGAGCTGGAAGGTCAGATAATGGAAATGATGGAGTTTAAATATCTAGGAATCATATTATCTAGCTACAGAAAGCTCGAAACTGAAGTGGAAGATCAAGTGAATTGAGAAAACAGAGCCATAGGCTGTCTAAATGAAACAATATGGAGAAATAAAAATATTGGGTAAGAAACGACAGGCAGAATTTACAAAACAGTCATCAGACCAATAATGGCATACGCGACAGAAACAAGACCTGACACAGAAAGGACAAAAAATATGTTAGAAACAGCACAGATAAAACACTTAAAAAAATTGATGGTAAGACACTATGGGACAAGGCTAGAAGTACAGATATACGACTTGCAAAGCAAGTGGAGATGCAAGGTGGAGAACATTATGAACTGGGTAAGAAATAGAAGAGTAGAATGGAACGATTATATAAGTCGAATGACAACAAATATAATAGTAAAGACGGCAAGAGACGGTTCTCCATTAGGAAGACGATTAGTAGGAAGACCACGAAACCAATGGAACGACAACTTACTGTAGGCACATTAAAAATCAGACAGTGTTATGTCTACATAAAAAATAAGAAGAAGAAGAATTTTAATTTCAGAACCAGCAATGTTTTTAATTACTGTAAATTGATCATTCATCGACATTTTTGGAGACTAGCATAAAAGTCCTGATTTAGTCTTAGCAGCGGGCTGACAAATTATAACTTAATTCGATCAAGATCACTCAGAATGTCATTTTATACGAACTTGGTCCAAACAGTTTACTGAACGAGGTAAATAAAAAGACAATATATGCAATCTAGACAAGAATCTCTTGTATATATGTAGAATTAAAAAGCTCTTGAACCTACAATGGGTAAACCTGACACAGCAACTTTATATTTTACCCCAATAACGTAGTATAATATTTTATTATACATTCAGCTGAAAAAAACAAACACGGCTTTTGAGTGAGCCATTATTTTGCTGATGGCCGCCACAGATGTCAGAGATAATATTTAGTATTTACAATTTTTTTTATTATGTACCGTGTTATCCTTGCCATTTCACGTTCAACAAAGCTTTGCATATTCGCATTTCCTGCTCACCAGATTCACTTACTGTAAAATTTTATTTCAATGCTGCAGAATAAAAGAATTTCCAAAATGAAGGGGAAATTTACTCAGCTTTTCTGAAAAGTTCAGCTTTTAGAGTTAATATGTTTAAAAATTTACTTTGTGTAAACAATGAGTTTATTAAGTTATTATATTATTATGGTATAGTCACTATACTATACTACTATACTATAGTGGAACGTATATGCGTGTATACAGGGTTACGCAATTGAACTGTGATCTATTCACACGAGCATAATTTTTTTGTGTGAAATTATTTTTTATTGATTCACATGACAAAAATGTGTGAAAATAATCAAAATTTCAGAATCCACTCACTTTAACTTGATGTGGTCACCTTTTGCCTTGGTTATGGCCTTCAAACAATCAAAAAACGAGCTGCATGCTGCATGAATGTGATCTTCCGCTATTTTGGCCCATTCACGTATAATTGCTTTCTTCAGCATATCCATACTGGCATATTTTTTAGTCCTTACCTTGCTCTCAAATATAGACTAGATGGAATAGTTCATCGGATTTACGTCTCGCGAATTCGAAAGCCATTGTGTGGATGAAATAAATGCTGAGTCTTGTTGGAACGTCCATGGTCTACAACTGAAATGTTTGCGTGCCATGGCTCTAAAGCAGCTTCTAAAACATTTTTCCCATAATTAGTTGCATTGACTTTGACACCAGATTAAAAAAAAACGATTGGAGAGTGTCCATAGGCGGTTACAGCTGCCCATACCATTACTTGAGATGGAAAATTACTTCGGGTGGCCGTTCGTAAGCTCAAATTTTTGTAGATGCGTGAGGTCAAGTAAACACGATCATTTTGAGAGCTTATGAACTTCTCAATAGGAAACTTTTTCTCATCAGAGTTCGCAACTATGTTCGGAAATTCGCTACGTTCGTGCAGACGTAACAACTCTTTTGCTCTTTTAAGCCGATTTTTTTTTTGCTTTGGT